TGGCTGCTAGAACATGGGGAAAAAATAAAAGATTGCCTCCGAGAGATTCCGGGACTCGCGTACCTCTCGAACGCTTGACAAAATCTAGTCGTTCTCGCGCGAGAGACGGATGGTCGAGTAGTCGGTCGCAAACGAGGGGTCGGACACTCTGGGATCGAAGCGAACGTAAAGCACGCGCAGCGATAAAGTGAAAAAAAAAAAGAAAAAGAAAAAAGAAAGCAGAAAACGGGGTGAGTGGATCACGCGCGGGTCGACGACGTTGATCGGTGGGTGTGTGGTATTTCCAGGCGCAGCTAGCCGGACCCCGCACTGGTATACAAAAGTTCTCACAGTATTACCCGAGCTCGATGCTACCGCCACCCCCGCCAGCCCCGATGGCGAGGCCAGTGGCCATAATCAGGTCGACGGGCGAACTGACGGCCGCGAGCTCGAACTCGCCTCCTACCTCGTCGACGTCGCCGACGGACCCATCGGAACTTGCGTCGAACCAGGAACAAATGGCGGCCGCGGCAGCGGTGGGCCTGGTCGGCTCCGGCTGCCAGACCTCCGTCGATCCTGCGGGCAGGAAGAGTCCGGCCAGGATCCTCGTCACGGCACCCCACACCAGCCGGGAGTACACCTTTGCTCACTTCCACTCCCAGCCTGGACAGGTGAGCGGACGATCGATCGGTATCGTTTACCGTACAAGTTACGACACGAAAATCATTTAAACAACAAACGTCTTTTATTTTTTTACAGCAAATATTCACGTATCCCACCATCGGCTCGATGTCGGGGGTGATCTCACCGACGAACCTGTCCCTGTTTTCGTCGCCCGTTTCGGTGACGAGGCCGGTGGCTACCCAGAGATCGGTATCGAACGTACCACCCCGCTGGAACACTGCACCCTTCATCAACCTGGAGGACGACTACAACATGATGGCTCCGATCATCACCGGGACCGCCAGCGAACCGCCATCCGCCATGGACGAAGGTCAGTAATGCCGCGATTATTTAAAAACGTTTGGACGATCGATCGAAGTTGAGCACCGTAAACTCTTACACCGACATCGGAACCAATCAACGATCCGTACAAATTCTCTGTTTGTCTACACGCCAGAACGGATGAACATTCGAAAGCAACCCCCGGCCACTCACCACCTACAAACCACGGTCATCAATTTTCGGAACGACACTTGGACACCAAAAAATCCATACCAGCTAACCATGAACTGACCTCGATGTTCCAGAACGATACTTTCATCCGGTGCACACGAGCAGCGTGGTGGACAAAAGCGGCGGTAGCATGATGGGCGGCGATCTCGGGGTGACGGGGGATCCAACGTCCCACCATCATCAGTCCCAGCAGCAGCAGCAGCAGCAGCAACCTCAGCAGCAGCAGCAACAGCAGCAACAACAGCAACAGCAGCAACAACAACAGCAGCAACAACAGCAACAAGTGATGCAAGACAAAAGCGGCCGACCGAAGTCTCCCCCGTGACACTGGAGGCTCAGACCGGAAAGTTTCGAGAAGCTCGCATGTTCCACGGGGTCGTTACTCACCACCGCGTACGATAATAACCCTGAGCCGGATGGGAATCGCCAGGATTCCTCGTGTCGTGTTCAGCTTCGCGACTTAAGCCCGCGGAGAATCGAGTGCCTGAGAGTCTGATCGTAGTTTAAGCCGACGCCGCCGAGGGATCGAGGAACTTCCGGCGCGCGATACCAGTCGTGAGGGTGGGAGGGCCGCGCGACTGCTTCGTAGGCGAAACCGACGGCCGCGGATGGCGCGTCGGTCTATCGTCGGTCGAGCCTCGCGAATCGCGAGGCAAACTCTTTGATCCTCCGTGGACTTGTGCTTCGCGCACGTTCAGGATCCGTTCTCGACCTAGGAAATATTCCGCGTTGTGAATTTTCAACTTTCACAGTTCAACGTCTCCGTTGCTCTGTCATTTTCATGTATCAACAAGCAACGGAAACACTTAAATATCCCCGCTAAACGTACGTATAGTATATCGAACTTGTTTTCGCGCTTGGTTACGGGATGTTCGTCGTCTGTTAATACTAGATCGGTTGGAAATAGTTGGTGATCGTAACGAGTAACGGAAACCTAGCATGCTCGAAGGACTGGTTTCTGCCTCGGGGGGTTAACGTTTCGGTCAATTAATTGTTACTCTGTTCGTCGAAGCATCGACGCAAAGGCCTCCGCTACCGGAACCATTCTTCTACTCCCTCGCCGCGGTACAATTCGTAACTCTGTCTCTCCCTCTCTCCCTCTCTTAAGTGTCCTCGAAGGACGTGAGTAAGGACCCCGAAACTTCGTCTCCTATTCGAACGTTTCCGATCGTCGCCGATCGGTCCCGTCGACTGGACCCATAGACGATTTAACGTAAAGAAAGAAAAAAAAACTAAAAAAAAAAAAAAAAAAAAAACGAGAAAAATACGAAATCGTAAACGAACACGAAAGAATTCTTAGAGAATCGTCGTTTTCGCGCGATTATTGATAACGATGTGTCCTATTCTTCCTGCTTCGAAGCCCTTCGAAAGAAATGCGTTTTTGTACATACACGCGGCCCGTTCGTTACATCCGGATTCGCGAGCGCGGTATTTTGTAAAATTTTAGAGGACTTTAGAGTAGCGAGTGACGTACACGGAAACACACACGGAACATACACACGCACACACAGACACGGTGAACACGAATCAGCACGCTCTTCGAAGAGGAGGTTAGCAAAACAAACGGAGACAACGAACAAACAAAAATGAAGACGAGAAAAAATTTCTAGTGCCAATCGAGTAGCTTATAAATATTATAACGAAATTATAATTTTCTATTATATTTTTTTATAATATTTATGAAGGAACACACACGCTTGTTTAGACGCGACGGTGAAGGAGGCGTTTAGTCGAGACGCGACGGAAGCTTCTTCTCGGTGATCGAGCGTTTATACGAAAGAAAGAAAAAAAAAATAAGAAAAAAATGGTCGAGGGGATCCGATCGACGAGTCGGTCAAATCTAACCGGTCCACGACCCACGGATAATAATAATTATTATAATAATTATAATAATAACAATAATAATAATAATAATAACAACAACAACAACAACAATAATAATAATGATTAATAACTTTATAAAGAAAATGTATCGTTATAATCGCCTAATGCTCAGGCTAGTGCTAACACTAGTGAACAGAGAAACAGAGATGAAAAGACTAGTGTGGACTAGTCACCAGAGGCTGCTAGTTAGAAACAAAGTAAATATTTAATATTGATTATTTGGTAAATTAAGCGGTTAACTAATTTACGAGATACATTATCGATAATACGTCGAGTGACGACGACGAAGAAGCCGCGCGGATGATGTCGAAGCAGAGAAGGATGTGCAACGAAACAGTGAACGAATATACGGGACGCAAAGAGCAACTCGAGATAGTGAGAGATTATCTATAATTCTATTAACTATTAGGAATTTAGCGTGCGTCATGGAGATTGCGCGAAATCGAACTCGACGACAACGAACAAAGGTCCTAACTATGTATTATTGTCCAAAGTGCTTTCCGTCGACTGTGCGTTAAAGGGGGTGTCCGACGACGAGAAACAAACTCTGGGATCGTTACCCTTCCGCTGCCGATTTCAACGCTTACAAAACGGAAAATTACGATACCTCTCGCTTCGAATGGATGCCAGATGACTCGATAAAGATAGACGTCCAAAAATTCGATTCTAGTCAAAATTGTTCGGATCCAAGGGATGTTCGTTTAAAGAATCGGTAGCGAAAGGGTCTCGAAACCAAGCACACGAGGGGTGACTTGTTCCGTTTGTAACTCCTAAGATATCTACTCTCATGGAAGCCCTTATTAAAATCCGCTTAATGTACTCGTTAGACGATCGGGTAGTTTCGCGGCAGTTTTTCTTGAGTTTGTCGAGTCACTTTACTGTTTTTTTTTCTCTTCGAGTGCCGTTAAAAGGGTTCGGCGTACTCTTGCCTATTACCGACGAACGTTCGATCATCGATCGTCGATCGATGACTCGCGCCCCTTGCCGAAACGACTGCAAACCTCGTTTTATCTCGTTTTTAACTCGCCAGAAACACGATGGCGATCGTTTTACGAGACGATGGTTGATTTTTCGTTGTACGCTTCCTATCCCGATGGTTGACCTTGTTTGCTTGGGTGCTTTTGCGCGCGCTTTCAATACACTCGGCTCGTCGAACGTTGATACAACGCTGAATCGACACCTCCCATTTAGTGTTTCCATTTAGAAATGAATTTCATTCTAAGACGGCGATGTAGACGATACAAGATTCTTCGATTGGAAGCGTAAATTTGTTGAGTTATTCGATACTTACCAAGTACCACGCGTCCTCTAGACCTTTCTATTGCGAGTAGGCAAAGGGTAGCAAGAAACGAGACAAAAGCATGTTAGTAGAAAGCCCCAGCGTTGAGTCGGGACAAATGACACAACGAGAAGAAAGGGGTGGCAGGCACCCTGTCAATCGGTTCGTAGCGATAGTACAAAGATCGAGTGTAGCAATAACGAGCGTCGATAAGAATTGGCGCGGTGATACAACGTTACTATTCCTATAAATGCTTCTACCACTATTAACGCTATACGAAGCGACGATAATACCGCTTCGACTATTGTGAATACTACGAGGAGACTATTACTACTATTATCTACTACCGTACCGCAATTACCACCACTACCAGCGCAATCGACAACAGCACCGCCATTGAACAAGCGATACCACTTTAATATCACCACCACCACTACTCTACCACTATTACTACTATTACTACTACTACTATTATTACTACTACTACTACTATTACTATTACTACTACTACTACTACTATTACTACTACTACCACTACTACCACTACTACTACTACTACTACTACTACTACTACTACTACTACTACTATTACTACTACCACCACTACTACTACTACTATTACTACTAATTACTACCAGCGCTATTATAAAACTGTAAACACTACTATTATTACCGCTACTCTACTATTAATTATAAAGGCGAGAGGAAAGGGTCACTACCGCATAAAACTGTTACTATTACACCGCCTACTCGCTATTAACGTCGATACACCAGTTACCGCGAATCGAGGAGGAACGCTACTACCGCTAACTACTACTACTAATTAACTACTAATTGCTTTACGACTACGGTTACTACGGGAGAAAACGATTATTAATGTAAATATTTGAAGCGAGGCGTTAGGGTACGTTGAAGCATACGCAGGGTGTGTCGCTCCGAATCGTCGTCGAATCGTTGGCGTTGCCAAACGCGACAGCGAATCGAATTTCGACTGACATCGCCGACAGTATTTCCACGGACGAATTTTGTTCGAAATACCAATCCCTGGAATACTTACGACTGCAACTATAGCTTTCTAACTAACGTAGTTTGAATCGAGGTTGATAAATTAATTTTGTAAAAAGAAAAACAAAAAAAAAACTATTTCGGGAATATTCTGCGTCGCCATTAGTTGGAACGCGAACGATTCGCACGGTGGCTCAACACCAAAAACGTGTATAATAGATATTATTGCGCACACAGGCAGGGAGACAGACAAACGAACCCGTATCCTAGATTCGAAGAAAATCTAGAACGAGCACACTAGATCCGTTCGATCGAGGATTTCGATCCCTCGGCTGGGAGTTCCTTTGAACCTTTAATTGGAGCACGCAACGTTGGATTATAATTTCGGAAGTAAGTTGAAAGAAAGGAAACGAGAAAACATTGAACAAATACGAACTTACCCAAAGATTCGATTCGGAAAGTAGCTCCTAGCTCCTAGCTGCGAAAGGAGGCGAAGAAGGATGGTCGAGGGATCGAAGAAACGATCACGTTAGACACGTAAGAAATTTTAATACTTTCCTCGATGCCAATAGGGATTGCAACGAGACACCTCGTGTTCTAATTTTGTTAAACGGGGACACCGACGATTACGCGTACCAAATCCACGGGGAACTATAACAAAAACGAAACCAGGGTGGTTCGGGATACGTGCACGCTGCGAACGCTCTTTTCTCGCTGATTTTAGTTACATCGTACGCAGCCTGATAGCTACGATTTTAGGGGATAGAGTAGAGTGCCAATTAAGGTAGAACGAATTGTAAAGTAGCTTTAGGTATTCCCGACGAAGTTGCAAGGTGCTTTTAGGAAGATATATTACGCGAAGAAGAATCGAACGGTGACGATTCGCGGTCACGTCCGCGACGAGCTGTTTGCTCCCACCCTACCAGGTTTCCGCTCAAGGCGAGGTCCCATTCGAGGCGACGTCGTGTTGTTTTTCCTCGGGGCATCCACTGGAGCATTTTGTATAGCGTCTCGAGCTGCCTTGAACCGAAAGTGCATTAAAAAATCGTCCGCACCGCAGCTCGAACGGGACTACCGCGCGGAGGGAATCGCTTTCCGAGTGGTTTAGCTTCTGTACCGTTTACGAACGATGCACGCTATCCGATCCTTTACAAATTCTTATGGTGAACGGGCGACGCGATTCCGAATAGTTATCGGGTTTATTCTTTTTCTGTTCGCGTTGATGGGTTTATAGAAAACATCTAGACTCGAGCCAGCGGGCTCTGAAAACGAAAAGGCTTTAATTCGAATGGAACCGAACGAAAGAAAGCGATCTCCGACCGCGACCGGAAGTGCCCGCGGCCGTGGCAGTGCGCACGAGAACTTTTTCTACGTAAGATAGATTTTTCTCTAGTAGAGTCGGGGGGGAGGGAGGGAGGGAGGGAGGGTGTGGTAACGGCGAGGCGAGAGGAACGACACGTGTGGATTAGCGATAACGTTTCGAGGGTGAAAAACGACTCGATATCCCGGGCCACCCACGCTGAACTTTCCCATTTCGGATGCTCCGTCGATTTCGGAAGTATCCAGGGGGTGAAAGTAGTTGGTGAAGAATTCGATGCGAAACTCTTGGGTAGAGGGGGTGAGAATCGAGACGTAGGCGTCCGGTAAACGCGCAATTAAGCGAAAAGCGAGAAACGATCGAAGTATAACGTTTTGCTAAAACCTAAGCTCGCCAACGGAGATGGACAAAATTTCTTATCTGGCCGAAAATCTTCGAATAACGAATTAAAAAGGCAAACCACTTCTGATCCGTTGTCTGTCGAGTAAGGATTACGATTTAAACGACGAAACGAAATTTGTCCGTATGGCTATAATTAGGAGTCTATTACTCGAACGAAATCCTGCCCATCTCTGCTCGCCAGGAACTGAAGATTTACGACGAACGATTGATTTAACGTAGGGAGTAGCAAGATGATAATTGTTTCCGTGTTTTTGTTTCTATTTGTGGGTGGGGAGACGTACGTCGACGCATCGTGGACGGATCGCGATTTATCTCGGATTTGCCATGTATCAGCGAACGATACTTGCGATACTACGACACACTGTAACGAATCGTGCAGACAAATGTTATTAAAAGAGATAAGATATTTGTTGTAAATGTCCGCGGTGCGTTGAGATGGTTCGATAGGAATATAGGGTGCACGCGAGGCGCAAGTTCAGCTACGAGAATAACGATAATAATATAAAAATCTAACGATACCTAACGGTTACCGATAATTGTAAAACGAGAGCGACTACGGCGATGATAACATAGTGCGATTATTATTATTACTATTAACTACGGCAATACGATGATATACATATATTATAATGAAATACAATATATTTATCGAATATTTATTGAGCAAACGAAATAGCACACTGTGTAGTATGGTTGTACAAAGTAGGCGACGAGGTGAAAACGCGCGAGCGATTTTTCTTTTTTTTCTTTTCCGGTCGGACGATGGCGCCGGAGATTACGAAGATTCGCGAACCGGGGGCGTTGTTGGTGGTTACAGTCGAAGAGGGTGCTTTTACGAATTTTTACGTTAGCTTACGTTTAGTACTTCCCTTGTATTTTTATTCGTACCCCGACACGATTTTTAAAAAAACTCGTTTACGTGATACGTAGCTCTTCTCTTCGCAACTTTTACATTTTTTCCATTCGACCTCGCGATCGATTGGATTTTCTTTTTTTTTTTTTTGGAAAGAGCGCCCCAATACCGACACTGGACACGACGAGAAGGACACGCCGAAGACACGGCTGGCGTGTCACGGGGGTGGCTCGGCGCTTGCGTGTATTTTCGTCACACGATCCTTTTTTTTACGATTGTGAACGAGGTTCATGTTATATATCAGGGATTAGACTAAATAGTATAATACGCTGCGAACGAAGGTGGCAAGAAAAATGGAAAAAAAAGAAAAGAGAGAGAAATTAATAGCCGAGGGTGATTAGCCTTTGGGGAGAGGCGGGGCGAGGAGAGAGCCGTGACAAAGGTGGTGATAGTGGTAACCGAAAGGGGCGAGACGCGTCTCGCGTCTCCGTAGAAAGCTCGACAATGGAGAAGCGAGATTTGCTTTTCTTTATAGAATTTCTGTCGTCGAGTTTACGAGTGGGCGCAATAGTAGCCAACCGGAATAAAATTGCGACTCGTTTACTTCACCGATAAGATTACGGAGTTCCCTTTCTATGGAGACGTGCGGTTTATCGATCGTTGAGACTTAATGCTTAAGAGAAACCTCTTGTGATAAGCGTGGAGGGGAGACCTCCGCCCGCGGTTGGGCCTGTAAAAACAAAAAACAAAAAAAAACACAAAAAACCATACAAAGAAGTTAAAAAGTGGAGAGAAACAGAGAGAACCGAGGGTGTGTAATAACGACCTTTAATATTCGCGACTGGAGTTGGCAACCCTCCGACGAAGGGACACTGACAAGGGAGAGGCTTCTTTGTCACCTTACCGCGCCAATTATACGTTGTGTCCATACTGTCTCAATTAATATAATGTATTATATTATATATATAATATATATATTATATATATATATATATCCGACAATATTGATTATTAAAAATTCTTAATATATAAAAAGAAAAAGAAAACAGTCTTTGGCCAGAACTGTGTTTCCCTCTCTTACCGTATCGATTTTCATCGTGGAAAGATAACCTGGGATTACACAAACCGTTTCTCATCCACACGACATCGATTTCTTTGCATTCTCTGTTTAAAGTATAATTGGAGTTTTCGTTAAATTTTCATCTTACGTTAAAAGAGTGGAATCGGAGCGAAGAAAAAGGAACTCGTTGAAAAAATGAAGTACAATTTATTATCATGCGCAGCCATGTTGACATTCGGTGCACCATTGCGAAAATAATTCGAAGTACAATAATGGGCGCGCTACAGCCATCCCGGAAATAATCATCGTCGCGACGATCTTTCTCGAGTGCACGCACCCTCTCTCGTTTTCTATAAATACATCGTAAATAAAATATAGATATATGTATATATATATATATATATATATATATATATATATATATATATATATGTTTATGTTTATGTGTGTATATCTGTACAACCTGTGGACACACGCCTCTACAAAGTAATCTCTAATAATCGCTAATTTCATCGAGTACACCGATCGTTAATCCGTCGTGGTCCTTCATTTTTCTTTCTCTTACTTTCATCGTTGTTTCCTCTTATCAGTGAGAAACACTCAATAATTGAATAATTAAAAACTTAAAATATCACTTTACGATCGTTTCCGTGAAGAAGACAACCTCGAGCTAAACCAGACGTCGTTAGGCTCAAACTTAGGGCAACTTAATTTCCACAAGAGAAGTTAAACGTGTCGTTGACAAAATCTTACCGAAGAAAGATACGTAGCTAAATGTTGTCTTTGAAAAACCATCGTCGTAGACGAAACATGAAGGACAGCTACGTTTTCTCGAAGAAAGGGCCAAACGTCAGTCGGAAGGATCGTTTGTCGGACCGCAAACGGTTAAACGAACAAAGTCGTTGATTCTTGACGGGCTAGATGGACCTGGTAACGAAAACTAAGAAATGCAGCTGAACATTCGGAAATTTGGGGTAAAGCTTATCTAACTCGACGATCGATCGAGTACCAGAAGCGCGGAGCGGTCGTGGTAAGCAGGAAAATTCACGAATAACGTTTTTCGTACGAGAGATGCCGCATCATCCTTACGACAATAATCATAGACAAGCTTGCATGTATACAAATTAAAAAATTGATAAGTGTCCAGTCTCGAACGAGCTAATATTACGCGACTCTAAAATGAAGAGTCGAAGCGTGGAATAAGTAATAGCTCGTTCGAAAGTGGTAAGTTATCGTCGTTTAATCGTTACGGAAACCAAGGACGGAAATCGTTCTACGCTTTTCTCGGCGCGAACGCGACGGACTAGAAATAGAAACTTCCCTCGCGAGAGTTCGATGCCGAAGATTTTCACGTTTCGTGCCTGGACCGGAAGCACGTAACGATTTAGATCGTTCGCTGTGTACATACCAGGGTTTCGCGCAACGTACATTTATACCGTACGACGAATCTCTCTTCGCTACTTTCATCGAGTGCTGCCTACTTCGAGAAATCAAAGATCGATCCTTTCGTTGACCGCGCCACTAAATAAGTCGAAATACTTCTGGTAAAGTAAATACCGCACGGTTCTTCCCTGTCCAAAGTATTCCGTTCTTGGTCTAAGTTCAAGCTCTAGCAGCCAGATTTCCCTCGAACGTACATCTACGGGCGTTACGTTTGAAATTTCAATTCGTGTCTCGTCCTTGCGCGTAACGAGCCGTCTTAGACACGGTAAAGAAAGTATCGCCTACTCTAACGCTATCGAAGACGAAACGTTCGATTATCCTTCGAGCGTCTGGGTGCAATACATATTCTTAGGCATGTTTGCACCTGTATTTAACTTTTCTTCAAACACCTCTTAGCGTCTCGAAGAGTCTCAGATTTCCACTCGTCCCTTTGGATCGTCTTCCAGGATACGTGAAAAATATTATCGAATCTCTGGGAGACGATACCTATCGGACTATATACACCATCGAATTACATTTACTCGTCTTAATGATAATATCCTTTGAAATATCATACAAGAAACAAAGTCTCTCCGTGCACCGAATCTACAGCAATCGCTTCTCGAGTGTTTGTTTCAAGTACGAAAACGCGCAGCCAGTGCAGCGATGCTGGAAAAAGGACCAAAAAAAAAAAAAAAAGGCCGATTGCCTTTCATAGAAAATTGCGTAAGTACCGTCTATCGAATGATCCGCGAATGAAAACATCCACGATGGAATGTTCGACGATCGTTGGCTACGATCTAAAAGTACGAGCGATAAAAAAAGAGAGAGAGAGAACAAAAATATATTAGCCGAGCGCAGATGCAAAGGATGTCCCGCATCCCAAGATCTTCCTTCGAAGATCCCCCTTTCAGACGATACAGGATCACTAGGCGCGGCTTTGTTCGCGTTAGGGATGCTCGATTCTCGTATAATTAAGTTTCCTTTCGTTCCTTAGTATTTTCCGAAAGGTTTTATTACGTTTTTCTCATTGGATATTTCTAAAGAACCATTGAAACGTGCGCGAGCATATTTGGCCCTCGTTGAGTATCGTTGTTAGATTATCGAGAGCAGCCACACGGTTGACGGTCGCAGCAGAGTAGCAACGCGACCATCTACAACGTCGATTATTTTTCAAACGGCTGATAGACGGTAGGTAATTTACCGCTTGATTTCTGGTTCAATTTTTTCGTTGTAATATCTTAAATACCAAAGTATACGCGAGATATAGTTAGCAACTAGAAAAGCGATTTCTCGAGTCGAATCGGCTTAATTCTGTTTAAAAATCGATTGCTTCGATGGGAATCGAACATCCGTAATTCGCGTCAAGCAGAATATTTAACCCGAAGAAAGTCTTAAATGTTATCTGTAACAGTGAAGTATTCCGTTGATGATCAGACGGTAGAGATCAGCGATCCAGCGGCAGCGACACCACGCGACCGATAGCGTTTCGGATTCACGAGATATTCTTCCTTTTATTTAATACTATCTAATACTGTCTCGATTACATAAACAATACGCGAACATAAATATAATTTTTAAACGTCCAAATGATCGCGCTTCAAACTTTGGATATTCATGATTTGTAGAAAGCACTAGGACGGAGCACTCGTGCCGATATCCGATTAAAAATATTTTAAACAAATAAATTTCGTTAAAAAAATAATACCTACGAGTACCGTTGCCGCTCGATCGGTTCGATCGTTGCCATTCGAATGGCCGCTCGTTAATATCGTCACAGCGAGTAGTTAATCGGGACAAGTCCGAGGAACTGTGCGACTTGGATGCCATCGTTCGGCGTGCTCGCTCTCCCGTTCCAACCGATGCGCGACATCGGAACGTCGATCGGTTCGCCACTAACAAAAGCAGGTTCGCTCGTCGACTGGTTCTTGAGCTCGCCGTGTGAATACGTTCACTAGTTGGCAGTGTACCCTGCGAACAAATTGTATCGATTTCAACAGCTTGAAAAGCACTTGGACGCCGTCGGGAATCAAAGTAAAGTTACGCGCGCGAGCGCGTAAACAGACTCGACCGCGGAGCACTAGGGAATCAACTAGACGAGTGTTTACCTGATTTTCACGTTGGAGTTATCGATCACCTCGCCGTCGCAGTTCCACACGCTCAGACTCGATTTCAGATAACCGGCGTTAATATCGTTCGCGGACTGCATGTGCAGCGTGGGCATGGCCCGGAATGTGAACTCCCTCGCTCTGTACACCTCGACGAACGGTAGATCGTACTTGAAGAAACAAATAGAGAAATGAATCGCGTTTGTTCTAGGAAACTCGAAGATTTTGTTTGCTCGTTCACGAGTATGTAGTCCTATCCGCGAATTACCGCACCTACCAGAGTTTTCTGTTTGCTGGACAGCCTGAGCAACATTCTGATATTGTTCAGAAGCGAGGTATGTCGAACTAGAACCACGTCAACGCAGCCATCTCCCACGTGACAGTGAGGACTGAAACCCATGGGACTCCTGGAGCAAGCACAGGCGAGGTTGGCACCGTTTACCATGAAAAATTTCCCTCTGACGGTCATCCATCCTGAAACGAACATAAATCTATCGAAGGGTATCCGTGTTACGTCGACGATTGGACACGGGTTACGACTTACTGGAAATTTCCTTGTCGGGAACGCTGTTATGCATGTGCTGCAAGCATCTGGTGCAGTTTTTCGTGCATCTTGTGCTCGTTGCGGGATGGCAGGGATCGGACAAAAGTTGTATCTCGCCCTCGTACCCTTTGTTCGCGATGATTTTCTTGAAACCTGAGAGCAGCCGATTTACCGTGTCGTTACGCGACGTACGTATTTGTTTGTTCGTAATCCGAGTTTGTTCGTCGGAACGCAACGATCGATCGTTTTAGACACCGGGGAGCAGTCCGAGGCAGCAGCCCATCTACTCACCGGAGTAGTCGTATCTCTGGGGACCCATCCACCTGAACTTCTCGCTGTCCCGAATCACGTCTCCCAGATAGCCGTAACTAAGAACGCTGGCGTACAGCCTGAGGAACGCCCGGTCGTTGTGCACGGACGATATATCCAGGCCAGTGCTGTCGCCAAAAATGATATGTATCGCTGCGGTTTGCACGTCCGTCGTTCCGTGAAGGCTGTACGCCACGGTGTCGGTGCTCCCGCTGGGTATCACGCCTATGGGCAACGGAGGGGTCGGTAGTCTGACTTCGGGATCGTTAAAATCGATTTGTTGGTCCTTCGACGTCCTCAGCACCAGCCCGTTGATCACCTCCGCGAAGGTGCCGTCTCCGCCGATGCACACGATCGCCTAAACGAATCGCGAGCTTGAAACCGATCGCAACCTGTTCAAGATCTATACGTCTACGCTCTGTTCTTACATGGAAGTCGCTCAAATCGGCGGCGGTCAGAAGCGTGTCGCGAACGTGGCCGACCCTTTCCGTGACCAGCATCTTCGTCTCGATGCCCGCGATGGTCATCAAGGGCTGCACGTCCTTCTCCCAAATTTTCACCCCTTTCTTCTTTCCGCCAAACGGATTCACGAACAACAGTATTCTTCTGGGACGGTGGGTCAAACCTAAACATTCCGACGGATGACGTTTTAATTTAATCAAAAGTCGAAAGATACACCGACGTGGAAAGCGGGAGACGGCAGACAGTTTGGAAGAAAACATAACCCACGGAACCCGGATCGATACAAGAGCCACTCTCGTTCCGCCATCGGAGCGGTTTAGGAAGAGAGATCGCGTTACACGTACGATAAAGAAACGCCTCGGTTGTTTTTCCGTGCGACAACGTTTCCCTCGAAGCGAAAGCGATTCGACAGAGGCAACGGCGCATCGGTTCACCGGCCAGGTCGATAACTTTGTTCGCAAAGACTCGGTAATATCGCCAGCTATAATTAAAGACGTGCTCGGGATCCGCAGGCTTCCAAATTTCCTCGACGCTCTTGTTATTAGACTCGCGGAATGTCTAGAGTACTCTAGAGCCTCGCACCTCGGGACATCTAACCGTAACACGTCTATATTTACTGCCTCCAACGCCGTATAAACTTTTCACATTTCCCTTGTTGGGAAACCTTTTTCTTCGGCTGCCAATAAAACTTGCCTTTCTCTTCGATTCGCGTGACACGGCGACGTTGACCCGAGGTGAAAGTGTTCATACCGACTAGTAAATCGTTCTCGATCCGCAGAGGCCTATTTGTATCCTTCGCGATCGTTACTCGTTCGTTTCCGATCTTCGATTCACGACCGCGCGACAAGGACGCTCGTCGAGCAACAATCGAAATCGCAACAACGAATCGCGAAGCGAAGCCTACTTTTAAATTATTCCACGATCCTCAGAAACATTCAAAACGCGGCGAACCGACGAGTAGTTGTTAAGGTAACAAACAGGTTTCACGGATAGCTCTTTAACGTCAAGGTCCAACGGTCGTCGGGTGGCGAGTTTGAAGTATCGACCGTGACCTTGGCTCGCGACTCTCGAATCGCGATGAATTGATCGACGACATAACCGGTTTGCCTAGCACGATCTTCGCATTCAGGGAATCACGCTCATTCGCGGGAATAACACAGGCGTTCGTTTCTTGCCATCGTCGCGACAGCCGTGCGACATCCTTAGCGATTATCCTTAGCGATTATCCTTAGCGATTATCCTTAGCGATGCACGCGGTAACGAAAGCGTTGACGTTGATGTTTCTCAAGTATAAAGTATCAAGTGTAAAGTTTAAAAGATGTTGTTGGGAAAGCAACTATCGAACGAATAACTTGGCGTTCCGATTTGCTACCGAGGCCAACAAGCAGTTGTTACTTTTCCAAGCTGTACTCGCGTTACGATTATTCGCGAACACAATGTCCCCGTTTTATTCTCGACTGCTTTTCGTTCCGTCGAGATCTCTATCCCGTTGCGAGGTTACCTATATAAACGCGGTGCTCGAAGGTGCTAGACCGAAATAACACCTTATTTGGCCAACGGAAAGTGCGCGCGTGCAACGGTCGAGTGGTTTAGAGCTCTTTCTTTCTCCTCGGTGAACGACGATGACGTAAAACTGGTCGCTTACGGGTGCAGAGCTCGCGAAAGAAAGGCCCGTGGGCGTGAATAAAAAATTCTGCAAGGTAAACCGGTGCTCCTGTTACGCGCGCGACTTTAATCGATACAGCGCGTAAAGTGTGGTTAAAATTCGAAATCTCGATCGCGACCTCCTTTTGCTCGCGTATCAATTGGATGGTGAAATTGGAACGGTCAAGGATGAAGTCGTAATTACGGAAAAAAAAACAATAGGTAGCAAATATTTCGATAAAACTCCTGCGATAAGAGTTGCAAACGATCGCGTTCAACGTATCGCATAAAATTAACTTTACGTTTCTTTGTTTCACTGTTCGTTTTTATACGCGGCGAGGTGTTAAAAAAGTGCCTTGTGGCTGCGCAGCCTTGAACCGTAACCAACGACCCAGTTCCAGCATGCGCTACGATTAATCCTTTCTACTCGCTCTCGTCGCGGAATACCGAGCCATGGATTAACCGAATCTCGAACAATGAAATGAATTAATTAAAAGTACTGTTAAAAATTGCTACTCAAACCGCGAAACTTGTTACTTTCTCGATGACGCCGGTAGTAATCGATTTATTCGATTATTCCGTTGACAGGATGTTTTTGTAACGGCGAACTTTAACGATCGATACACGGTACATTATTCACACGGCCGCCATTTCTCTGCCATAGACGAAAAAAGAAAATAAGTAACCAAGTGATCGATGCAAAGACCGCGCTCACCCATCAGATAATTTCGTATGGTCTTGACCCAGGAAGCCACTTGTCTGGGATCGGTGTGGCTCATCGTGACACTGTGATGACTCCATTTGTTCTTTGGTCCGCGAACGGCGTAATGTAAAATGAAGTTGGTAGGGCAAACGGTAGGAGACGTGGGCGACGTAGGTGGTTGTTTCTCTTTAGCGTTCACCCCCGGGATCCAATCGTCTCCGTAACGAACGGCCAGCACGTCCGTCAGGGGTAGCGTCCATCTTGCTAGAAAAATATAGCAAACCAATTTACAAGTATTCGATGTTTAACAGTTTACGTAGAGAGAGGTAACTCTAGCCTCAAACCCGGAAAAACGTCGACCTTAAACAACTCGATAAAACGGATAACAGCGAACCTTTTACATTTACGACAAATTTATTCACAGCGATTATCCACGGAACAGATTAGTTCGCGCATAAACAAAGTCGTCGGACGATTTTAACGATTTAGCAAAAGGTTCGGCGATCCGTTGTTATTTGAAATTGTAAACGGATACGTGACAATAATTGGAATAGTCGCTGAGCAATTTCCAGCGCGAGTCTTCGCATTCGTTCGATCGAAAATTGAGTATATCTTTCGATCGCGTGTCACGAACGTGTAGCTACACATCACGCACCAGGAGAACGCGATCGAAATAATAAACGCTCCAGCCGGGGTCTCGAGTCATCCAATTTATTTCACGAGGTACGGAGTTTTGTGCGTCGACGGTTGAATCGGTTCCTTTCTTTCGAGACTGCTTCGCGTAATTGCTCTCCAACGTCTCGCGAGCCATGCTTTTAACAGCGAACAGAATGGCGCGCCATAACTGCCGCATACCAACCTTTTATTTCTACCATTTTGCAACCGTCTTTGTTCAAACGTACAAACTCTCGAAAAGAAGTAAAATCGAAATAATTCTTTTTAGAGTTTCTACTGGATTCCTTTATCGTTTGCTACCCAATAAATTCCTGTCGTGCTAAAACAAAAGAACCCTCGAGACAAAACAAACGGCATTGTCAACAACGGCATCAAGCCCCGCGACCACAATGGACATTGAGAAACTTTCGATGACGCGATAAGTCGAACGTATTTGTACTTGTGAAATGCAACGAGATGTAATCTCGATAATAGCGGCGTTTGGTGCAACAACGTTAATGGCAGCAACGATACCGATGATTTCTTTACATCTGGAAACGAAACGAAACATTCCCATTAAGGGAAATATGCCAGGAAATGAAGGGAGGTTAATGTGGAAATGTCAGGTGGTGTTGGTACGTGTAAAGAAGTGTTAGGAGATGTTACAAGATCTTATGAGGTTTCAGTCATTATTTCCATTGCGGTGCTTGCAAGTACGTTTGTAAACAGAAATCAACGCTAAAAATGTCAGTCTCATTTACAATTCAAGTACGATCGAACGAGAAACGATCATTCCAAACACGAGCCGTTTCTATGCGCTTCTCGAGCCGCATTAATCGCTAACGTACGACGTGAAAATATCGCGATACAATTTGCGAGACGTGAAAGAAATTAACGCCGCTCTAGACGTCACAGTTTATTAACGAGAAAGAATTTCGTAACGTGACACGGATCGAATACAGTGAACGTCAGCGACGATCTCGCGCGTTTCGTTCGCGCGTCATCCAGCGACTCGCGTCCCACATTTTTTTTCGAGCGTGCAACTATACCAAAAGACGATCTCCCTTGTCTAGCGATTTTAAGGCCACGTTTCCCGACAGTAACTCTCTCGTCGAGCCTCCATTGGCTCTGCATCGACGAAGCCCCTCGAGTCTTGGAACAAAGCCTAAACGTGTTTATGGGTCGCACTTGCAGTATCCGCGAGACACAACATTCGCGAAACCATTAAACCGTAAAAGTTTCCGCTGCGTGGGTACACGTGTAAGTCCTGGAAAAACCGGATACCGCCAGACGTCTGTCGAGCGATTTTAATTACGGAAAGCGATAGAGCAGCGTTTAACATAGACGAGAATTAATCAGCGGCCGCATCGCTGGGTCAAAGTCCTCTGAAAACAAGGAAGTCTGGCCTAGTGAGAGCTTCCTACGCCGCGAGGAATAGGCGTGATCGCGAGACGGTGTCGAAAGTGGACGCGAGGAACGAAGGTGAGCCCGTTCGCGTAAACCGTCGACCTTCTCCGGTCTTCGGTCCCCCTCGCTCGCCTAATCCGAAGGTCCGCACCGTCTCTGGAGATCGGTGCCAACGACCCGTGCCTAAATTTACCTGAACAAATTCTAGCTGCAGTTGACGTACGCACGCCAAACAGGACGAATTACGAATTCCTCTTACGAGTGCAATCGAGGCTCGAGCGATAGATAGATCGCACCTGCATCGATATCCTAGGTACTCAGGTGCGCGCTACGGAATTTCGCATGTTGCAAGTAAAAAGCGGTTCACCTGTTACTCTTCCATCGCCGCGTCTCTCTTCTGACTTGCTCTAAGAATAGCTTAGGTAGTGGTCAACGTTTCCCTCCGTCTCGCTACCCACGTAAACATGCTCAACTATTCTGTAGTTCCCGCATGAAACTTCTGGAAAGCTCCGTCATGCTCATTGCGTGGCAACCAGAACGTTCCAGCACGGTCCACGCTCACTCATCGACAAACTTCTACAAACGTAAACCTAATACGTAATTTACAATGTCTTTAACGTATTTTTCAATAATTCCTTCCTATCCTTTCTGGAACAAGGAACCGTATCCGCCACTTTGCTACTACCGTCTTCGTCGCGTCCACTCTTTCCTTCTCCTTGCCACTCCCCGAGACTTTTGTCGATACTATCCGTATGCTACGACCGAGCCACTTCCCGAATTAATTAAACATCGCGTGATTTTCCAGAGTAATTTTCCAGAGTAATTTTCCAGAGTAATTTTCCAGCGTAATTAGTATCTCGAGCGAACCACTCGGTGTCTCGGTGTCGTGTAATTACGAATACAACTCTGTATAATAGTAATCTGCTTACATAAGCAGCTGTGCGAAAAACAATTATAAAGAAAACACGACGAGTCATCGACTCACTTTTTTGCTCGACGCTTCTCCAGCAGAGAACGCGCATGCGAGCAAAACATTTCGTTAGGATAATCCTCCTTATCGTAAGAATAATATGTATCGCATCGAGATTGCTAGAAGAAAGAACCGTCCTAATTCGTTTTCGGATAAATTGGACCAAACTCGCGACGTCAGTTTCTCGAATCGACAGAAATTCTCGCTATTCGTGCGAAATGTTTTTAGACGAGTTCCTCCTTGTGTCAGCGATCGGCACACGTTGCGCGACTTTCAATTATCCGCCGGTAGACAGTTTGCAAAGTCGGACATCCTAGTTATTGGATGCGAGCGTTCGGACCTTATAGCGAGTAGATTTGTTCTTACGAATGGGCTTCTTGGAAACCCGTACACGTTGCTCGGATTATGATCTCGTCGATCGCTTTGAGCGAGCAATCGTCGAAATAAATGAATCGCTCGACCTACATTGCGCTCTCGTCGCTCGTTAAGAAGAAGTAATCGTTCGTTCCTGATGTTTGTCTATTCGCATAGCTTCTCATCCCCGAATCGCGTGGATGTCCGACGAAGCGAACCCAACGTCGAAGTTTAAGATACGATACGCGGTACGAGGAAAGAGGCAGAAAGCCGCGTGGGTTTAGGTAAGGGCTGATTATCGTTGCAGATGCGGCCTCGACGTATGCGGAGAGCCTGGTCCGCCTCGACGTCGGCGTCGTCGAGATAATTGGGACGCGTGGCAAAGTGCCACCGGTTCAAAGGACATTCGAGGGTAACGGGACTGGAAGGTTTTACAGGATCGACGAGGTCGGGTCGAATGACGTCGCAGCAATTTGTCCACGCTTGGAGAACCAGTTTGGCAGGCCAAGAGATATTACGTAAAGGGGCAACCGTATAAATTCACGTAAAAGTATGCGTACGCGCGTACTCCCGTCTACGTACACATATGTAAATATATCGCAACTCGCAAGTTTTCCTTTCGCGTGTCTACGCCTTACGTAAAACTCTCGTTCGGTTGCATTCTTTGTTTCGGATTACCTATTATTTTCCCGTCTACTCGTTAATGGGATACCTGTGATACGCGGCTTGTTGCAAAACTAGCATACGCGCCTAGCCGAGCAGATAATACATTCGCGCTATCGCATGACATTTCGGTTTCTTTCTTCTACGTTATCACCGTTGGCTTGTTTACGAAACCTTTTGTCTAAGATTCGTGTACCGATTACTTGGTTTACTCCGATCCGATTTGTCTTTGTGTACTTACCGTTACGTTTTATCTAAATCGGTACTCGACGCATTCGTAACGTTTGCGGTCTGTACTCGAGGTTTTCGACCCTCTTCTCAGCAAAATGATAGAAGAACGACGCGCGCTGAACGTTGGTCTCTCGTTTCTCGTTACGCAACACGGGAAACGCAAAGCTGAAACGAGGTGCGCGGTTGCAGCTGTGGTAATTAAAATCCAATCGGCGACGGTCGAGCTAGTGCACCGATCCGCTATCGAACGAATGTTCTACGCGTGAGCCAGCACGCGAGTTCGACCAGGGTACAATGGATTCTATAAGCCGTTCGATTACCCGCTTTCGCTCCGCAAAGTAGGCGAAGTCGAAAAGCGAAAGAGCGCGATGGAACGACAACGCGCCGTTACCGATCATCGAATATTTCTTTCTTTCACCCAATACAGGATACTTGATTTCTTAAGAATTCGGACTGTTTGCTCCTCTATCGATTAACCGTAGCTCCTGCTCGATTCGCAGCGTTCCTGTACTTTTCGTAGCCCTTTCCGTAATTCCACGTTAAACGAAACTGCGAATGAAGATACGGTAATCTCGTGCAAATGAAAGCATTTCGCAGTAACATCGGTCAACACAGATGGACTAACAAAAACCGTCGACTAATTCTAATTTATTCCATCTTTGTAGCGCTCCCTTTGTATTACACTCGATACTCGACTGCACGCGAACGTGATTCAACTTTGTTTACTCCGTCTCTATTGACGCTCAACTCCTTGGACATTCACGAAACAAAACCTCTTGTAAAACACCGACGCGCGAATTATCGATATTCTTTTTATAAATTACCAACGAAACCCTCGTTAAGTGTCTTTACGTAATTTCGGAACGACGATCCGATCGTTGGACGAGTAAACGAAAACAACGACGAAGTATTCTCTCGAAGTCCGCGAGTTTATCCTGTATACTTATTGCTCGTTAATGGTATACTTATTACGTTCGAGTCGATAATTGTCGTGGTTTTTATCTTTTTTTTTTTTTTTTCGAGTATCAAGCGTCGGCGGTTGTACGCGGAAATGGAACGATATGGAAATTAATTTCAAGGCCGAGCGTAGCTACATGTGTTCCTGCTTTTAGGCGAGCCGATCACCGAAGAAGACTCGATCGGCATTCCGAGCACGCACGAGAACATCGACGCGCATAGCAGTTGGCTGTGTAACGCGATCGACGCGATGCACATTTCTCCACGGATCTGACGATTCGTTCGATACGACATTTTCCGGACTCTCGTGTTCAGGAGAACGTAAATCCTTCCGTTCTCGACTCGACGATCGAATCGCTTTGCCATGCAACTCTCGCAACTTTTTATCTCGTTAATTATACCGATAATAGTATTCGCCTCTTACCTTATCTTATCTTTTTATCCGACAAAACTTTTTCCGATATCGTTATACGTCCGTGTTTATTATTCCTATACAGGGTGTCCCAAAACTCGGGGAGGAGCCGAAAATGGGGGGTTAGCTGAGACGATTCCGAACAACAATTTCCTGTGCAAAAACGTCGGATGGGGCTTCGTTGAGGAGATATCAAGCGAAAACACCGACCAATCAGAGCGCGCGTAGACCGTTGGAGCGGCCGCGGTAGCGAAGGCTACGCGCTAGGTCGATGCTTCGATGCACGTCGAGTCACTTGTTCGCGTGCAAGCGCGGCCGCCAGCGCGTAGCCTTCGCTACCGCGGCCGCTCCAACGGTCTACGCGCGCTCTGATTGGTCGGGGTTTTCGCTTGATATCTCCTCAACGAAGCCTCATCCGACATTTTTGCAAAGGAAATTGTTGTTCGGAATCGTCTCAGCTACCCCCCATTTCCGGCTCCTCCCCGACTTTTCGGACACCCTGTATATTTTTCTACAAGACTGAAATTTTGTGTTTCGACGATTGGAAACTACATTTTCTCTTAATATCTCCTTAACGAAGCCCCATCCGACATTTTTGCAAAGGAAATTGTTGTTCGGAATCGTCTCAGCTACCCCCCATTTTCGGCTCCTCCCCGAGTTTTCGGACACCCTGTATACTCGATGTTACTGTTTATTTTCATATTAATACACGATTGGTTTTATCTAGAAGAACGATCGACGCGAATGAACGAAAATCGCGTATCAAAGGCGTATCAAATCTGACTCGAAAAGAATACTTGTAACCGAAAACTAACTCTGGTTCTGCAATCGTTCGTCTGCCCCGAACAGGACGCTTCTACTAGTTCGATTACCCTTACGTCGATTCGTCTACAACGATGATTGAATGATTGCAGTACGTATCTCTCTCATCGATCCGAATTACTTAACCGGTTAACAAGAACAAAATTCAACGTTTTAACGCGATAACGATAACATCCAGCTTTTCGGTAGCGCTGTATTTGTTCTAAATTAAAACGTTCCAACCGATTAACGATAACCACGAACAAAACTGCGCTATACGACAAAATATCACGATAAACGACGAACGTATTCTATTAGGTCGTCCTAAAAGTTCGTGCCATTTATACTTCTATTTCTCAAATTAATATGTGAAACATACTCTCAAGCGTCGCATGAAAAGATAATCTGTCTCATTTCACAATAGTTTCTCATCTCTCTCGGATAGTCGTTGTACCGTTACTAGAAAATTTCTGTGATTTTTTTTTTATTAAATTTCGACACAGTCTTCGGCGCGAACTTACGGAACGACCTAATAATTTCGTTCCCGATGTTCGCCAACCTAATCAGTCTAGTGGGTGTCGAACAACATTTACTTAAACAACGCGACTGCCGAACAGAAAATAGACGTTGCAACGTATCGGTTGCTTCGCCGTTGACTTACGAGCGACATTTAAATATCAATTTGCCTAGAAAACTCGTTATCTATCCATACGCGAACAAATTTCAATGCTCGTAGCGCTACTTTTCGTTGACCTTGCCGCGTGGAACTGCTGGCAAATTATGAAAAAAGAAGTAACGCGACCCGAAGCAGAGATGTTTACGAAACCAGTTTGGATCGTCCGCGTGTCGAACACGGCAAGAAAAATCTGCGCAAATCGTCCGTTGCGATGCGCTGCAGCTCGGAATTCGTTCCTTTTCACGGATCGTTTTAACGTTTAGAACGCAACGAACAGGAAAGTGGATACGCGGACGGTACGTTGATGCCAACGACGGTATAATTTTCGGTGAAAAAGCAAGAGGAGGAAGCTTCGAAATGCTAATGAAAGGTACAGGCGATTCTGCAAAATGTGCTCAGACGTAAATCGAAGAGAGAGGGAAGGGGCTCGAGCGAACGACAGCGATCAAACGACGCAAGCCATGTCACCCGCGGAGATAATGACCAAGTACGACCAGGATTTCTCCTCCTGATAACGATAGCATTAAAATGCAGCACGAATCTATCGACACGTTGATGACTCGGCGCGTTCGTCCGAAATGGAAATAACGACGGTGCTCGATGGAATTCGTCCGCGCACCTTGTTATCCCGTTGGGTCGCATCTCTCATCGCGACACCGTCCACCAAAATAAATTTAGCGGCAGCAATTTTTGGAACGCCGCGTCCGCTCCGATTCCCTCGGTTCTTTCATCCAGTATTTCTCGAACGGTGCTAAACGGCACCGTTGCCCAACGATTCCACAAATACTTTATCAACCGGTTAAACGCCACGCAACATTTCCATGCAAAGGTGTGTCTACGCCACGGGATCCTTGAACCCTTATCGCTCCAACAATATTACGGAATCGTTTTCAGCCAACTCCAAACAAATTCTCTTCGTTTCAAAGTGCTAAGATAAAACGCGCCGTGAATGTTTTCTTTTCAAGAGTGTTCGTAAACGTTCGGTAAACGGTAAAGGTTCGAGTATGCCGCTTTATTAACGCAGCGGAATTGGGAACAAATCGATGACACCTTGCTCGCGATACGAGCAACTTTTTCGCCTCTATTCTTCGACTTTGTCGCGCGTGCCACGAACGATCGAACAAAACTAGAAACTCTCCATCGAGTTTCGCAACAATTCCCGGAAAAATTTCGTCACGGAACCGTGAATTTCCATCGAGTTTCCTGTATCGCCATCCGCGAGAATCCACAAACAGATCGGGTCAACGTTTTACGCAAAACTTTGCGACGCAGGTATATACATTTCTCCGAAAGGAAGCGAGAAGGGCGGCTCCGATTCGGTCTGAAATCCAACGCTACATTTATCGTGTTCATAATACTGCCAATAACCAACAAGTTCTAATGAAACGATACTGCCAAGCTTTGCAACAACTGGAACCAAAATTTAGGTCAAACTGGAAGCATTGCCGGTCGCTCGTCCTATACAGGGTGTCCCAAAAATGTTGTAACAAATTGAAAGAGGTGGTTGGGGAGACGATTTGAAGCAACTTTTTCCTTAGCGAAAATGTTGTCCGAGGCTTCGTTGAGGAGATATTAACGGAAAACACTGACCAATCAGAGCGCGCGGATACCGTTGGAGCGGCCGCGGTAGCGATGGCTACGAGCTAAGCGGCCGCGTCCAATGTCCTTCGATGCACGCCGAGTCGCTTGTTTGCGTACAAGCGCGGCCGCTTAGCACGTAGCCTTCGCTACCGCGGCCGCTGCAACGGTATCCGCGCGCTCTGATTGGTCAGTGTTTTCCGTTACTATCTCCTCAATGAAGCCTCGTACAACATTTTCGCTAAGGAAAAAGTTATTTCAAATCATCTCCCCAACCACCTCTTTCAATTTATTACAACATTTTTGAGACACCCTGTAGATTTATCTCTAGGTACGCGACGATCGATCATTCAAGATCAGATATCGTAGTCAGGACTCTGTTTCGATCGACCGGCGTTAAATTAACCCTCTGTCGCATAATGTTTCCAATTAAGAATTTGCTTTTCGAAGAATAAAATAAAATCGCATAATGGGACACGAAACACGTAATCGACAAAATACAACTAAAAAGAGCGCGATAAACCAAACGCCGAAAACTGAACCGAGTTATTCGACAGCGGTCTGTGAAAACGTTCCAAACGTCGAAAAGGCTCTCCCTTGACCCATTCTATTTTCCAGTACATGTACACAACACCCCCACCCCTAACGGGCAGAAACCTAGCCCTTACAACGACGCATTCTCTTTTGCGAAACAACAACATCAGGTTCATCGTCGAATACGTGCCCTTTAAACTACGGATACGCGTCTATGATTGCTCTACCGAAACGGAGTACAATAATAAAAAAAATATCGCTGTTACGATGATCGATTCCAACGTTCGAATACCACTCGAAGGTATCCCGTTCTTCGATGTTTCGACGACGATCGCGAGAACGCAAAGACAGGTCTACTTACTGTACGGCGGTTTCTCCGTTTCCCAAATCAGCGTGCCGCGATGAAAGTAGACCCTGCACCGTTTCTTTTTCACGACAAACGTGTTAAGGAGTACCGTCCTGGAGGACTGGTCCGTGATTTCCTGCATCATCCTGCTGGTTGGCGTGCGTTGCCTTGCACGGGAGCCTTGTTTAACGTAGAAACCGGCGAGGTGTCATCTTCGCGTCGATCGACAAACGGTCCACGCGAAAATCGTTAAAGAAATCGGAAACACTGAACGCGACACCAAAACGTAAACGATCACGAGCACGAACAAACTCTCACCAACCCAACTCGCACTTCTGCTCGAGCACGACTGCGTGCGCGATCGACTCACCGAGCCGAGACGAGAACTCGTGTCGTGTCGTGGACGCTCGGATTCCCACGGGCAACGCTTCTCGAGCTTCCCACTGGAGAGCAACGAGCAGCTGGAATTTTTCGCAAATCGGTATGTATCGTGTTCGTTTAGGATGATATTGTAAATTAAATATAAGACGTCTACCTTGTAATCTTAATTTAATTAGAACGATTGTCCAAAATGCAACTAGTCTAGCGAAACATCGAGCGAAAGACGAACCAGTGAGAAATTTTTCATTTTTCGATGAACGCACAATTCATATGATTCTTTGCTTTATAATACTACAATATATTATAGAAATATATCGTTTAAACATTTAATTGCTTTTATATATATATATATAGGTGTCTATAAGTTTAGACAGGAACCTCATAGCTAGTGGCGCCACCGGTGGGAAAACACTCAAGTTTGTCGAGAAATAGTTCTTACTATTCACGCTAGATGGCGCCATTACACTGTATTTACCGACCCATGTCGGTACATTACCACCATGCCGGTAATAATGGCGCCATCTAGCAGTGAAAATATAAACTATTCGAGGACAAACTTGGACGTTTTCCCGATAGAGGCGCTGACCAAATTCCCAAAATTAGTTCGACCTCTTCAACGCTAGATGGCGAGGGCAATTATGGTTGCTGGCGTCCATCTAGCAGTATCAGTAGGAACTATTTTCACTACAAACTTGAGCATTTTCCCACCGATGGCGCTGATCAGAAGCCTAAGCTAGTACAGTCTATTCACCACTAGATGGACATTTACTTCAGAGAGAAAATTTCAATAAAAAAAAGGAATTTATATGTATAAACTGTATTTCTGTAAAGATTTTGTGTAAACGTTCGTGTTGCCAAACTTCCTTTGTTAACTGGAACAATTATCGAAACAAAATATAGGAAACGGTGGCACAAGAGGTGAACGCATCTGAATCTGACAAAAGTCGTTGGCAGTCTAGGCATGCCGCTGCGCTTTCCACAAAAATTCGAACCCATTCGAAACGTGTGCACGTTTCGCACGTCGCAACGGAATGCGAGGCGAACTGCATACACTTCGAGCCACTTTTGGCGAGCAAAAGAAACGCATAGCTATTGACGAAATCGTTAATTATGGATAAAAATTAACAAAACAAAGTTAAAATACAGAGACATCGCCACGTACGCATCATACAAATGCGTAAATGATCCCAAGAGACGACAGCTTCTCGACGAACAGATGCTTGACTAATTGTATCTTGGCCAATAAAGATCACGTTAAATCGATCAGCGACACAAACGTGTTGTTCCATGCAGCCCGCACATGCGACGGATGATCGGTCAGGAATGGTGTTTCAGAAATATCGACGAGCTAATAGTATGCGAATAATTACGAATTCGTAGTAATCGGAATACATGCATGTAACAGTGTATGTGCACTTTTAATTTAGAACAACAAAAACGCTTTTGTCGATTTCCATTTTCGCCACTGACGTGTGTTATCTCCATAAGAATCATAGGTTTGTAAAAAAGCCGAAAAAAATACAAGGAAAATGTTTTACCTACAAACTATCGCTTTGTCTTAATTGAGAATCACTGAAACACGTTGATTGGTAGACGAAGACAGCGCGGCATATTCGACTAAGCGGAAGAACTAATGAAACTCGAGCGAACTTTGCGCCAAAAGATTCGGCTGTTTCCGGCAAGCATATCGAGATCAACCGAATCGCGCTCTCGAGCATAGCACGCATACGTTTACACTTATTATATATACTCTGCGCACACGTGCAAGTAACCCTGTTCTGGAAGAATTGCTCCGTAACGTAGACTATACTTCGTGCTAGCAAAAAAAATCAAAGACAAACTCCTGTAGACTACAAACCGGGTTCAACGAGACTAAAATATAAATGCTCGTTCGTATTCGAAGTATTATTTACTTCGGTTTCTGTATAGGTACAGTTTGCATGGTAAGGTTTCATTCGATGATGACACGTTTAAAATATGTTTAGTAGAGTACCGCTTAGAAAACTATAACTACAAGATGCATATGCATCTACCTATAGTTCTGCAACGACGTACAAAATAAGAAAAAAACATTTGTTACGAGTGAAATTCTCGACATGACGCTTAGGCTTTAATCGGGTACGAGAGAATTTTTAATCGGATTGTACCTTCATTGGCGTATATTCAAAATTTTGATAGCGTGCATTTTCTCTCGAAGCACATCTTCCGTGTGTCGTTACGATTAACACGAGTCTATTCCGAATCGATTTTTTGGGAATTTGAACAAATTTCATTTCCACATAAAACGTAAAAAGAAGTGTTGTCCCTTAGAATGTTGAACTTATCCAGAGTAAAGCGTGTACGATATACGAAATAGACTTGCAGTGGCGCATCGTACCTTCGCGGGGCCCAATACAAAAAGAAGTTTGGTAGCTGTACATATAGTAGATGTACTATAAATGTTTGAATTCGAACAAAGAAGCTTATTCTTTGTAGATTGTATACGAACAGCAGCAAATAATTGTGGCAACATGGATTTTGAGGGTTTTAGTCTGACCAGAACTGACGTCTTATTTACGTATAATACGCCACTGGCCACTACACACTTGTCGCTTTGGCGTCAGTTGGCGAAAATGAAGAGGCCAGGCCGGTGAGAATGCCGGGTATGTAACTCAGGAGAAGCATTTTCCTAACGACGTACCTGGGAGACCGACGGTGAGTGCACATGCGTCGATTCGAAAGAACCAATGAGAAGGCGGCAGCGCCACGGTAGGGACATCGGGGGGACTCTTGGTGGCCTTGCGCGTTCTTCCTATTCCCTGAAAGCTGGAGGCGCGTCCATTTTGTCAGCACGTACGATCCCGAGTAGTCGACGCCGGTGCAAAGTATAATTCCCGTTCGCGACGAGTTCGTGTTACCGGGCCAGTGACTGTCTGTCGGCGGCGTTAGCGGATTTCCCATCGCAGCCTTGAGTGCACAGAGAGCGCGACCGGCAGGCGTGAGAACCCGTGCTCGTGGATATATCGCGCAGGAATCTGAGAAGCCGTCGGAGGAGAATCGTTGTCGCAGGGCCGCGAAACGCGTCGCGTACCCGGTTCGTTCCCGATTCTAGTTAAGTTTTAGCGTAAATGGCGGAACTACAGGGAACCCAGGTCAGTCAGGACGCCCTGGCTGTGGCCCAGCTAGAGCTCGGCGGAAATCCAAATGCCTTGGCGTTGCGTAGGCCATTCGACCCCGTGGCACATGATCTAGACGCTAACTTCCGCCTTACGCGGTTCGCCGACTTGAAAGGATGAGGGTGTAAAGTCCCTCAGGAGGTTCTTGGGAAACTCCTCGAGGGACTACAGGCCGACGATGGTAGCGCACAAGATCATGAACATGCCCATTTTATGCACATGGCCATTCCACGCATCGGTGAGTAGATTAGTTTTATTTGCGCGCAGACACTTTAACGCGCCGACATGTTTGATTTTATGCCGCGTCTCTTCGCTTTAAAATATTTATCCACGTTCGTTACTCTTTCGCCAATCGTGCGTATTATTAAAATTTGTCTCGATTACATTCGTTTTCGCACAATTTCCAGGGGATACTAAAAACGATACGATTGAAAATATATTACGCATTTATGAAATTTTACTTATTACAATTTTTTCTATTTAATCGCATTCGATTCAACGTATAGACATTCTATTTTAGGATGTGTATAAATATCACAATTGCAGAAAATTTTTCCTAGATCATAAATTAACAATTCTTTAACCGACGATATTCAGGGCGCGAATTCTGCGATAGGCGGCCCTATTGTGTCGGTAGCCATGTTGTCGCCTCCCGCCCGATTTCTCCCACGCCACCGGAAATACGGGTGTTCTCAACTTCTTCAAATTTTTCGTTGTAATTAAAATATTTGACAGTCGAAAATTTTATATGAAAATACGAAAATAAATGAATTGAACGAAAACACAAATTTTAGCCGTTACTCTTGCTTCGCGATTTAATTTGTAACTGCATATATGCTATAATTAAATACCGAATATTTCGCGCGCCAAAACGAATATTTAATTTCAATTTTTTTTTACTTTTAAAAAATTAATTCTTTTAAGTAGCAATGGATTTATAGGAAATTTCCCGACATATATATATAAAAAATATACAAGCACAAATTTAACAATGTACAGCTACAAACAAATAATGTACATGTTTATGTATAAACATGTATGTTTCAGGCATTGGCATGGATTCCTCCGTGACTCCGCTGAGGCACGGCGGACTGAGTCTGGTGCAAACTACAGACTTTTTCTACCCGTTAGTCGACGATCCTTATATGATGGGTAAGATACAGAAAGTATACCACATTTTGAGAAAGACATTCTATTTTTTCAGCTGCAACTCTGTAAATTATATTTGTATAAGTTCAGCATTTCGAATAATATTTACGTTTCCTTTTGTTAAGGATAAAATTTATTGTATGGCATCCTCTTTGACCACTGCTATTGGAGTACTTTTCCAGGTAAAATTGCATGCGCTAATGTTATCAGCGATTTGTACGCCATGGGAGTCACAGAATGCGACAATATGTTAATGTTGCTGGGAGTCAGTACAAAAATGACTGAAAAGGAGCGAGACGTTGTTGTACCGTTGATCATGAGAGGATTCAAAGATTCCGCCTTGGAAGCTGGCACGACGGTGACAGGAGGACAGACAGTAGTTAACCCTTGGTGTACGATAGGTGGTGTTGCTTCTACCGTTTGTCAACCAAATGAATACATTGTGTATGCGTTTTTATATAACTTCTATCTATATTTACATCTGCGTATCGTTTAATAATTTATTTTTCGTGCAGGCCAGATAATGCGGTCGTCGGCGATGTTCTTGTTTTAACGAAACCACTTGGAACGCAAGTTGCCGTTAATGCCCATCAATGGTTAGACCAACCAGACCGCTGGAATAGAATCAAGCTCGTGGTCAGCGAAGATGACGTGAGAAAAGCTTACCAGAGGGCGATGGACAGCATGGCCAGGCTTAACAGAATAGGCAGGTGTTTGTTGGTGTTGAAGGCAAACGTTTAAAAAACAATAATTAAAATCTATCTTTCATTCGTCTAACAGCGGCAAGATTAATGCACAAGTACAATGCACACGGAGCGACAGACGTTACCGGCTTTGGCCTCTTAGGACACGCACAAAACCTAGCCAAACACCAGAAGAACGAAGTTTCTTTTGTTATTCATAATTTACCTGTTATCGCTAAGATGGCAGCTGTAGCGAAAGCATGTGGTAACATGTTCCAACTCCTTCAAGGTCACTCTGCGGAAACTAGCGGTGGATTGCTTATTTGTCTGCCTAGAGAACAGGTGTGTAGCAGTATGATTTATACTCGAATAAAGCCTGCCGATACAGTAGAGTATATTACATACAATTAAATACTCTAAAGAACAGCAGGAAGAGTAACAGAGATTTCCATGCTGATTTGCAATTTTAGCATTTTAGTGTCGTCGAATCTCTTACACGCATTTATGTTTCTAACATTTTAATATTACATACCGATAAATTACCAATTCATAACATTGATTTGTAATTCTTTTTCAGGCTGCGGCATATTGCAAGGATATCGAAAAACAAGAAGGTTATCAGGCATGGATTATAGGTATCGTAGAAAAAGGCAATCGCACAGCAAGGATAATCGATAAACCACGAGTAATAGAAGTTCCAGCTAAAGAAAAGGACGGGGAACTCTGGTAAAAGGGTTTATCATTGTTTACCCTTTTATTTACCATCATGCATTTAAAGAATATCACAGGCAACGCGCATTTACGTATGCAGACAGATTACGTACAGATTCAAAGCACTTACACGTGGACAACATTACAAAGAGTTAACAAACTTTTACGTATCTTTACGCTGCATACAAAATACGATAAAATTCGTTTCACAGCAATTTCGATTGTATTTTTGTTTCATAGGTTAAAAACGTGACATATAACAATAGTGGCTCGTAATTTTGCGTTATCTTTATCGAAATTTATTCTTTCCTACCGCACGTTTCTGTTATATTCTTATCTTTATCCAGAGATGAGAATATTTCAATAGCGAAGTGTCTGTAAAATGTTCTTAGCGGTCTTCCCGACAACTATGAATACTTAATTCGAAAACAGTTCACGATGAACATCGTCGGAAAGCAATGCAAACAAAAAATAAGGAGTTTGGATATAGTCTTTCTTAGAATTAACCCTTTGCAGTTAACGAGAACAACAGAAATGTTCAATTTAAATGCAAAAGCTGAGACGATAAACCCCGAAAAAAAATTAAAAAGCAGGGTTCGTTGATTTTTGTTATTTCTCGGCAACGGTGTGTAGAAACAGAACGAGTCGTGCAAGGAGCTTCATTTGTGACCATGTCTGTCGTATAGAGAACATCAGTTTTCTTTATAAATCAGCGAACGCGTTGTTTATTTACTGTAGTATACACAATCTTCGTAAATAGTCTCTATCGAATAAAAGCAACAACATCATCGGCTGATGTTCGCTGATTTCCGGAGAAAACTCGTGTCCTTTTACAGCAAAGGATTAAAACTAAATGTGTGTAAGCATAGCCTCTGGTAGCACTAGACTCGGGCTAAGCTTCAACTTGCATTTGATCAAACTTGCGATACGTTGAGTGACATTTGGATGCTTAGCGTTAATAAAGAATGTTAATTAAGGTACACAAGCGTTAGTTCGTGATTACAAAGATCTATAAATATATTTTAAAGGGTTATACAACATCACGAAAGGTTTTAACAGTGTAATATATACATTAGTTTAATCCACGGATTAATACGGAAACATAGAAATCACGATACTATAGATACAAATTTGTAAACAGAGACGTTACTATCCCGTAGTACGCGTTAACAGGCATTCAACGCCAATAAGATTTTCACGATTTGTAATTTTGATCTCTTGTTACATAGAACTTGTAAGATGTCCAAATGAAAACATGGCCTTTTCTAGTTCTCTCGTTACATACGCTTTTAAAAAGTAATTAAAATAAAACAAATACAAGAATTCGAGCACAGGCCCTAATGTTGTATTACTTTTTCATATGAATAAAGTGCTACTTTTGTCAATAAAGTTTGCGTATTGTTATCGTAATTTCACCCCCTAACCTTTGGAGTATATTGTATCCGCTCGAAGTATTATATTTCGAGTAAAAAAGTGTTTGGCGCCTGTTCGTGTAATTGCGAAATGCGACGACCAGTTTGCATCACAAACCACCAGTATATGTGCACAAGTCGATCATAAAACTTATTCCAAGGCAGCCAATAGACTAAAAATAAAAAACTAGTCCCCTCCATTCATTGGTCGATGGCTTGTTAGTTATCTCGATAACTGGTCGTGCAATCGCGGTTCACAGGTCAACCACTATAGAACGGCCGATATATTTTCCCTCCGCACAGAAAGTTGCCGTTGCATTCTCGTGTAAATCGTTGCTCGTTGGGGAGAATAGTATCAAAAGGAAATCGAGTTGGACATTTAACGTGTTTTCACTATTTGCATCTATTTTTTTTTCAAAGTGACGATTAATGGTAGCGCTATCCACGTGGTGTTCCAAGGCTGCGGCCTTCAGGGCCGTGATATTAGGTGCCCCTGCATCTGGCAAGGGCACTATGTCAGCTCGAATTGTCGAACACTTTAAAGTGGTTCACATTTCTAGTGGTGACAAGTTACGTGTTCACATGAATAATAATACCGGTATGTGCAGAAATCACGATTCGTTTCGTTCATCTTTTATGAGTCATCTCGATGATAATGGGGGACTCGTATCAGTCTTTCCGACCCTCCACACTGCAAAATTCTTGGGATTTCATTTAATTTACAATAAATTAAAATATCCTCCGGAAGAACCTCTCTGTCGTAGAGATGCGTAATTGAACGCGATTAGATTGTCCTCCTCTCATTTCTCATATTATTTCAAAGGATACCCTTATCAATTTATTCAGCCGTTTGCCCTATTTACAAACAATGAAATAGAATCGGCATTACGTTATATTCACGAAGAAACATTGTTTTAATTACATATCTCGACATTGATTCACTTTCACTTGCACAATACTATCTATGCTTAAAGCGTAATGCATAAATCTCATTGCTACAACGATTGTAATAAACATGACGGATTTGATTGACATCGTTCGTTCCAAAGTTTAATGTACCATTAATTAGCATTAAAGAATTATGCCATCAATTGAACGACGAATTTAATGGAAAACATTTGTTCGTAATATTAATATATAGAATTGGGCAAAACGGTCGCAAGTTACGTGCTTTCCGGTAAATTCGTTCCCGACGATGTAATAATCTCGATGATAAACAAAGAAATCGAGCTGGTGGGAGACAAAAATTGGCTGCTGGACGGTAAGTGACGGGATAAAATAGTAATTTCGACATCTTTGGTTTGACCGTGAACGTGCGACAACTACGCGCGGCCAACTAAATTCGAATAAATAGTTGGCATTGATACAGGATTTCCGAGAACGTTGCAGCAAGCAGAAAAGCTACAAAAAACATATCCAGTGAACCTCGTCCTCTACCTTGACGTGCCTGTTCCGGTGATTTTGAATCGCGTGGAAAACAGGTGGGTTCATTTGCCCAGTGGAAGAGTTTACAACATTGGATTCAATAATCCAAAAGTTCCGGTAAGTTGGATTGTTATTCAAACTATATCGTTGACGACATGCCCAGTAAAATTTCCCAATTTACCTGCACGTTTTCCTTGATTCAATAATAAATATCGAAATTTCTACAAATATTTTTATACGACGTTAACTAACATTAATTTATTTTGATTTAAAATAGGGCAAGGATGATGTAACGGGTGAACCCCTGTGTAAAAGAGAAGACGACAAGGTGGAGGTTGTGAAGAAACGTTTAGAAAATTTTTTAGCACAGAACGATCCTATTTTAGAATTCTACCAAGGTATCGGAATATTAAAGAGATTCCATGGTAACACAACAGACGAATTATGGCCACAAGTCAAAGTTGCTATCTCAAAATTTTTATCTTAATTGTAATGTGCTTTTAACAAGATTTTAGTGAAACTTTGTTGCATACGCACATATCTAGATGAATTGTAAGAATATATTAGAATATATAGGAGAGGATTACAATATATTTTTTTGTAATTTTTATATATCTGTCATAATCACAACATAATTTGAACATTTCTTATCGATACAGTACAAAGTTTTTCAGCCTATATGTGCAATTTTGACTTACTTTACAAACACCTATCATTGTATGCAATACTCTATTTTAACTTTTGTATTTAAATGTGCTTATAATAATATTGTCATATCAAATTTGCCGGTACTATTATTTTATAATTGTAAGAAAAATAACAGAACAATAATCTCTGACAAAGTTACTCGGTGTAAATATGATGATTTATATAAGTTAACGGTGAAAAATATTGTATATTTTAATATAAAGAGATCGACGAAGCTAAAAACTGAGTTTGATCCAATAGGAAACATTTGTTGAACTTACATAACCTAAAGTGTTATATGATACGATACGTATTCTGTTTATATCGTTGTAGAGAAGATGAAATGTGCTCGCAATTATAAAGAGGAAATAAAGATCAAAAGATAATTTTTTATAGGTCTTTCCATGTTTATTTTTAACTGTACCGATATAAGAATTGTAACAATTTTTAATTGTGTACAGATCATTAACAATATGAGTATAATATACATTATATATCATGCTCACATCTTTTCCTCGAAAATTAAGTCACTCTTTAGTAATAACGGTAACTTAATATTAGGTATATTTTTTACTAACATGTTTCTCTTTCATAACATAAAACGTTATGTCGTGCGCAGTGTTAAAGCGCGGGAACTTAGTATAAGTTCGGTATAATCATCAGGGCAAGAACTAATATATTAAATAAATAAATAACTTAGGGTTTCGTTATGAAAAAGTTTAAATTAATTCAGACTAAGTGTAATTATAGGTATGCGTGATTCGATATATAATACGCAAACACCTTCGATATAACGACAAAATGAAAATTGGTCATGTGGTATATTGCAAAAAATCTAATATTGCTGCTTTACAAAATAAGTTATATTAGGAACATTTCCTTAAGGAATCGAGAAATGTTTATAAAAATCACTCTTCATAGCAAAACTGTAAACTTACGATCTACGCAAGTCTTGACGCGATCATCGTTCGGAACGCTTCAAATAAATGAATCATTCTCCGTGAAATGATTCAAGTAACTGTAAATTGTATGCTAAATTAATTTCTAATAATTTTTAAAAGCAATTATTTTTGAGATCACGAAACAAAACGAGAAAAATTGTGCAACATATCCAAATATAATTTAAATTACGATCACAGAATTACGTATGGATGATAACGTTTTCGAAGTCTATATAATTTCCTTTTATCGCGAATGGAAAATATTTGGTACGCTATAATCCATGCTATTTAATGGACACGTTAAGATCTTAAACTTTGTTTGCTGCGCGAATTCATTACAGTGAAGAAATATATAACTGCCTAATTACCCAAAGTTCTGCGTCTACTAAAGTTATCAATTGGTTTTTCTCTTGTACACGTATGGACGAATGAACGGAGAATTCCGATTAATGTATTCTTCTCCAAAAACTATCGATGAATGTCTTTAAGTACTTAAGAGATATTTAAACCTCAGCGATAAACGTCTCACTGAACTAATTCAAATTCTTCGCACTCGTCGAGGTCGTCATCGTACGACTCGTTACCTGTGAAAGAGGTAGCAGTAGGAATAATGTTTTCAGCGATGTCAATTTTTTGATAGAGATCTTTTCCGCTCCCTTCGCAGAATAAAAACATCGGATAATCGACTTTTTCATCTTCCGGCACCAAATACTGCAATTTTAAAAAATACCCTTATCACACCTTCTAAATCCTTCGTACTGCAATTAAATTATTCGTATAAGAAACTGTTATACGTACGGAGGGAGCTATCTCCATAAAATTTGTGAAATGCATTTTATTATGAAAATAAAATCCCACGCAACAACTGGGATCCATTTTTGATATCAACATTTTTCGCGGCGAAGTACAATGAAAACTCGTCAAAGTGAAATTGTCTTTGGATACATCGACAGTTTCTTGACAATAATGTGGGTCTAGATTAATCAATTTATCTTCTTGGAAACCGATAAAATAAAGCGAATGTCTAGGTCGACCGCCGATAACTCCAATGCAGGTATCTAATGTAAGGAGATGCGTTAAACAAGACGTATAGACAGGATTTAATTTGTCAGCACCAAGTCGTAAAGGTACAAAAAGTATGAGAGATTTCCATTTGCCGTCGGATGTTTGACATACATTTTCCACATCCTGTAGATAAACTGTAAAAAAATATAAATTAGAACTAAAAATATATAATTGGAATTTCTGCTTGTTAACCTTATTTAATTAAGGTACAAATATCTCGACTACCGCATCACCTGCACAATCTTGAGCAACATAAACAGCCAAGTTACTGAATACTGAATGATGTTCCGCTGCATGCTCTACCGCTTGGCATAACAGATGAGCAACAGAGGATGGCCCATACCAATCTCCTGCGCGTTTTCCCCATAATGCACCCAGGGATACGAGCGTATGTATAGAAAATGGAGATATACGTTCGGGTAAGTCTCCGAACGATTTTATAATTAATCTGTGATTATATTCGTCTAATTTTTGTTGTTCTGTTTGTATCAATTGATCCGGATGCCACCGCCATTCTATAGAAAAATTATATTATTGTAGACACAGAGTATGCCATACTTGTTTTATAATGGCTACTAAGGTAACAACAGAGCATAGATAATATAAACGAATATAATCGGTATTTAACGTTAAATTTTAATAAAAAAAATATGTGCCTCTTCCAAGAAAATGGCAGACCAGTGCTTGTGCCAACATCATCTGACCACTGCGTAGCATACAACCCCAACCGCAATCGGTGGTGAACGTAGATCCGTTTAAAATAGGAAACTCTCTTCTGTATGTCAACCAAAGGCGAGATGCAAAGTCTTTCTTAAATTCTTCTATACTATCTTCGAAACTAATAGCATCCATTGCTAACGATATTTCGCTCCCTGTATCCAATGATTTTTCTGCTTCTGAAGCCTTCTCTAGGAACTCTTCTGGCTTCTTGCGATAAATTTTGCCAAGCAAACATACCGGAGATTCTTTTGAAAAATTTGGTTTTACCATCTTAATGGTCCAGCCTTCAAATACATTAAATTCGAATAAGAACACGTATTATCCAAAGGAGAATAAAGAGCCGATTGATTTCATGCTAATGCCAACCATATTTGACGTTGTTCCACATAGACAATAGTTTTGTTTTCACTTTGCTGTCAACCTCTGTTGCAACATTGGAATCATCCATGGGTAATCCATTGTTCGTAGCTGCAAGCTGTATGTTGGGGACACGATCTGTAGCAATCATTCCAGAGAACAATCCTATCGTACTGTTACTAAAACCCCCTGAGAATCAAAGTGATCTTTGATACGTTAATATATCGCGGGTTTCTAAAGCTCTAAAATGTACAACCTATCAAACGAAAAAAGCTTTGTCTAGCATATGTAAACCGAACACAAAGTATGACATGTCGTCGCTAAACCATTACTAAAACATCGGTAGCAAGGCCAACGTGACTAACAGAGTCGAGTCATCGTCTATAAATGGTAAAGTTAAAGGGGTAAAAAAAAAAAGTGTGAAAAGAATATATCAAGACCTCTCGTACGCAATCAAGTTACGGTTAAATCTGATACTTACCTAACCTCTCCCTTGAGGGCTGCACCTGTCCATTCATGCCCAGTAAGTAAATCTTAGAAAGCATGAACTCCGAAACATTTAAGTATCGCACGAAAACAGCAATCACATTTTCGTACCCGTACGATGACGACGGTTATACTGAGAATCCAGCTAAAACCGTACTTGATTGCATCTCTCTCTCGAACGACTTTAACCACTATTCTCACAGAACAATCTAATACGATTATGCACTGGCCGATGCATGCGCCGAGCTTCGTACAAGCCTTGTTACCATCAATCCTGGCTGTCAACCGAACACTTCATTTTCTCAAAGTGAAATACCAGCTCCGTAAGACACTCTAAAAATGGTTTGTTTCCTTAAAGACGCGCGATGACTTTCGATCTCGAATAAGCGACGCTTGACGGGAAGGAGACGATCGAAAATAGGTTCAAAGAGACGTTCCGAGATGCTGTCGCCTGGTTGCTGGCGACAAGTCGACAGCCGACAGAAAGGGACGCGTGTTTACAAAGACGCGTCGCATGAAATTTAAAGCGCCCGTTGAAATCGCTGCTACCGACACCTGATGGCGTATTCGTGCACCTTACTCGAGTACACACGAGTGCATCGTTGGTACGCACGGATTGCGTTGATCGGATCTGATTTCGAAATTAGGTATCTTATCGAAGCGTACACATTCTCGAGGAGTTTTTAATCGTACCGAGAAAACAAATAGAAACAAATAATCGATACTTATCGCTTTCTATTTATTTTTTTTGCAACGGATACGTAACAATTCCATCGTGCCTTTCGGTATTCGTTTTTCTTTGTATCCATCGATCGATAGATCGTGCATCAACGAAGATCGTTTCCAAAGCTCAGAAAACGTTCGAGAAATTTCATTCCCGAAATATGCTACTTATTACTTCGATAACCGACGTTGAGAAGTCCACGAATAATATTAACGCAAAGTGGAATTTATAATTTGTTTAATCGTCCATATTACGGTACTATGGAACGGATCTTAAGTAGTTCTTAAAGTGGATCGCCATTCCATTAATTAATACCGTTTCCGTTGAGAGGCTAACAAACACGGTACCGCGTTCGCTCGGAATTAAAAATCTCTCGGCAACGAGCGTTTGCGCGATATAAGCGATTAACCCTGGGGCTCGTTCAAGTTATTGAAAACTATGTAACGAAAGGAACGTTGGTTGATACGTAATTCGATTAAAAATCTGCTCGACAACAAAACATTTACTCGATACGTTCCCCAATGATCCCGCGATTCTTGTACCTCCGGTTTCGAGTTCTAGTTTTCTAGCCTCTTATGGTCCACTTTCGTAATATTACTTTCGTCGCGTACAGATTTAAGACCGAATCTTCGTGATATTACGTTCGTCGAAAATGGATATAGCATTGCCGTTTGTACCGTTCGCGCATTATTTTGCGACGATTTGGAGGAGATCGGTGGATCGAATGTTACGAGTATATCGCGAGCTACATTTCCGTACAAATTTCGTACAAGCTCTTAAGTAGTTAATTCATAACCGGCCGAAATGGAATAAAATTCACGAGCATGATTAACGGAGAACAACAGGAGAACGCGATTAATGGAGAAATAAGAGAGCGCGACCGGAGTACATTATCCCCTTTGGCTGTGGCGCAATAATGCACTTTTGTCGCGAAGGTCGGGTAGGGATAGGGCGAAAAACGTACCGAAAGGGAAAAGAGAGTTGCGCGGTTGAGGGCGAGGGTGGAATCGGAGGAAGAAACGACGCGACGGAGACCGAGAGCTTGCGCTCGACGAGCGGAAGAGAGAGTGGCAGAGAGGAACTGTCATGCGCGTCTTGTCGCGGAATAACCAATGAGGTACGCGGATCCCGGGTTACCTCATTGATTACCACGTTCGCGCTCGTTCTAAATTTCGCATTGTGCCCGTTGTCGTCGTCGCCGAGCCGTTGCAAAATATGAATCGGCCTCGGCGTGCCGGGCGTCATCGCGCCAGCAACCCAAAGAGAAAGATTGATGGAAGGAAATGGAACGGTCTGCCTGTCAGGACAATAATCTCACTCCTGGCTGTGTTGCATTAACAATACCCGTCGGCAGGTATATTGAAAAGCTTCGGGGTAAATCTCTGTGGGGCGAGAAGAAGGAGGTGGAGGAGGTGATGTCGGCAGGTAGGGGAAGGGATGTTCCCTAAAGCTGGCTTGTGTATGCGTACGTGTGTGTGTAGGTGGCACGCACGCGTCCAATGTACGCCGCTAATAAAAGCCGGTTTGACGAAGCTGAAAAATCAACAAAGGGACACGCATAGCTGGGGATAATTATTTGTGCAATAAGTATTACTCGCTATTGTTTCGTTGAGCGGTGGGAGAGGGTAGGTGGCGGGGTAGGACGAGGGGGTTGCAGGACGGAAATTAGGTCATGCAAGAATATCGACGGACCGACGTAATCACGGTGCACGGCTCGAATAAGGACATTAACGAGTCACGCTTTCTCCTTGGCTTGGGATCCTTCTTTGCCTGACGTCGACGACTCTATCGCGCGGACAACGTGGGTTCTCGTTCGATCGTCGAACGAGCGATCGATCTTGCCAACGCCTGTCGCTGAACGCAGAGAATTCGTTCGGATAGGCGAACGGTACGGTGGTAGTAATTGTTCGGTGGCCTCGAACGGCAATTAATTTTCATCCAACCATAGTCGCAACGCAACGTTTTGGAGTCGATGCCCTCCTCGACTCGAAGCGGCGTTGGTCACTCTTGCTTTCGTTAACCGCGCAATTTCTCCCCTTTTTCTAACCTCGGGCGACCTCGGTTTGCAGAGTAGGCTCTAACGGGAGACGAGCCGAATCCGTCTAACGCAAGAGTCAAGAGCTAGAACGTAAACGTTGGACAAATTGGTCTCCGGGGTCCTCCGGTTTCAACCTCTACTTCTACTTCCTTTCCCTAGTTTTTCCTCGAGCTTCGCCATCGACCAGGAGCCTCCCTTTGCAACTTGATAATACCGTAAGAAACCCTACTAGCTAATATAGTCGGATCAACCTCAACTGGTCCCTCGAGATCTCATCCCCCAATTCTGACTCATCGCATCAGTCGCTGCTCCGACTTTTACGACACCTCGTTTAGCCTGCGGCTTGAAAAACAACTATTTCCACGCTACTCACGTTTTTAATATTCGAAACGATGACGGAGGAAACGATGGCGTATCGAGAACTCGTAAGAAAAAGATCGGTCGGCGACCTTCGGCAACCAATTGATGTTGTTTCCCTGGTGTTAGCCCCCGTCAGAGAAGAAGACAGCAAGGAGAAATCCTTATGCGACTAACAGGACTGCATGAGAAAATCTTGTGCCTCGCAAACACGTAAGAGGATCAGACGATGCGAATGGTCTTCGGAAGTCCCGCTTCAAATGCGACCACGAGGCATGAATAGAGCTCAGGAAAGGGATAACACAAGCGTGCGAGATCCTTTTGATATTAGAGAGCTGCACGTCGATTCATGGATCCTCGTAAGGCCGTACACTTGGCGTCCAATCGATACAAATTAATATCGATTTACGAACTCGTGAATACGTCTTTTCAGGAATCGAACGGGCCAATTTATCAACCGAAGAATATACTCGAGGAAATACGCAAAGGATCGCATCGACTACATCGAGAGACCGCAGATTCTCCATAGCTAGGATAACAGATCGAATAACGCGATGTCTACGGCACTTGGCGATTTCAAAGTGGAGCTCGAGCGATTTTCACGGAACTATTCATGGACCTGGCATTCACGCGAACATCGTTATTGCACGACTGATAATTCCTATCGGGAGAAGTACTCATTAGTAGTGGTATATTTCTGCGCACGGCCCGAGGGACCGTGCAAATATGCACGGCTCGTCAAACGCGGAAACGCGAGCAGCTTTGCGCGATATTAGCCGGCGAAATCGATAAATCGACTCGACTTCCGGCTATGGAAACGTTGACGGAAGATAGCGAATTAAAATTCTGTCTTGGTCCTCGTTCGCTCGTGTTCCAACGAATTGACCGCACGATAAATATACCTTTCTCGCGAACGATATCGCACAATTTTTGTTTCGTAATCGAAGCTGGATTCGCGATGAATTCTCGGCCGCTCGTCTAACGATTGCGAATAGTGGAACAACGGAGAAATAACCGAAAGGAAAATAAATTATTCGCGAAATTTTCAGCAAAATGAGGCTAGGTATGTATGAATAAGTACGGTAAGTTAAAACAAACTCGCGAAACTCGGCGAGCCGTGGAGCGATTGATTAATACCCGGGTACAGCTGCTCGCGGCCCCGCGCCGCTGAAAAAACCGCTCTCGCAAAAGAAGCCGAGAAAGATTGGCAAAGTTCGTGGAAACGAAATGAGATCTCGAAAAGGGAAACTCTCCGCGGTTTGCTCGGATCCGTTTCGCGATAATGAGAATTTAATATCCGCGCTAAACTGAACATTTTCGACGGATTCTCGCCGATCCGTGCACACCCGGCGATTGAATTTCGACTGTCGATGCCGGTGTGGTAGTTGGCGTGCTTCGCAGGTTGTTATCCGCCAATTTTAACGAGGCTTCGCGTATAGACCGAGAACCAAAAAGTATTCGTTCCTTATTCGTAATCGAATACTCGCTAGTTTACGGGACGAGCGGCAGATAGGGGGTATATCATTGTAATTACCTTCTAACGTAGTTTGAAAAAAAAAAAAAAAGCTGCCTACCCAAAATTAGATCTCCACCGGTACGCGTTGCGCTCGTTAACGAATCGCTCTCTCCCCGAAGGTTGCAAATGTGAAAATAACCATCTCGTCGGTAATCTCTACAGCGTTGAAGAAGGTCGTTTAAATGCAGACATCCGAGTCGGAGGGACGAGACTGGAATATCCGACGAATCAAAATTCCGACATCCACGCGGCCCGAGGATTCCGTTTTAATTAATGCGCGCCGTCGTCGGACTTTCTGATGGCCCGTGGAAACTGTGCCGCGTTTAGGGACATTATTTCCCTCGCGAAGTTTATCCTGGACAGAGTAAATCCTGGAGGGCGCGCTTTTCAGTATGACACGCGACACTGTTTAACCTATCGCACGTGCAAACGCGCGAGACTCGCCGGGAGGCACGGGTTAGGATGGAACCGTAGATACCACCTTTTGTGCGATATTCTTGAAAAAAGCACGAGCACGGACGGAGCGTAAACGTGTTGGTATATTTGATGCTTCGCGTCCGCGGGAAGCTCTGACGCTATCCAGCAATTTTACTTTTCTACTAGCTAAATTACCCGACGTAGCTCGACGTAAATGTACTACGTTTACGACTCGTGTTCGCGTATTTACGCCGTGAGCTAATCGAACAAAAACATCCGAAAGCGTCTAAAGAAACTGTGCCGAATGTTCCGCGCTTTGCGGACGGAATCTTGGTAATCTTCCGTCGAGTGGAGTCATGCAACGTTCAATCGAAGGTGTCGAGCGGTTACCTTGAAAACACCTGCCTATTACGCACGCGCCCCCGTCGCGACGATGATCGTAATTAATTCTGCAAATTAAACACTCGTTGTCTCCGTCGCCGCATGCTCGAAGACCGTGTTAATTTATCGTTATAACATTATTGCAGGAATTACCGACGTCGCTGCAGCGGCACGTGTAACAGCCACTTGTAAATTATACCGACATCATAATTTACGAAGCGCTGTACGTTTGCCTCGGAACGTTTGCAAACAGAGATCGATCGATCGTCTCGACCTTCTGGTTATACGTAAGACGTAACGTCGATTAAACCCTATTTTGCCTTTTGTTTATTCGTACTCGAACAAGTTGAAACGTTGTATCGCCGGAACTTTGTTACGGATTTTCGTCGTTCATTTTTTCACGAATAAATATTCAGTTGCATACAGATTTTTATTCTTCGCCCAAACGCCCGTTGTTCGTTATTTACTCGTAGGTGACGTTCGGTGATAAATCGTCGGCTATGAGTGGCACTCGTAGTTGGCGGTGAACGTGTTGAAAATCCGATTCGTCGAGGTCTTAAAAATAGCCAACCGCTGGAGGCCATTAACTCCTTTATTCGATGGAAATTTAAGCACGGTCGAGAATTTGTTCATCTTAGGGTATAGATAGAAATCCGACTGGCAACGTCGGCTAGAATACCAACGAATGCGAATCGCGTTCGTAACATATTTTTTCTTGTCAGGCCGAGCTTCGCTGCACTCGGGTGCCAAGCAATCACCAGTTGTCGGAACGTTTATAGAAATTGGCTTATTTTCGCCGATAACGATGTATCGGTAAGAGTGCGACGCTATCCCGTTCCTTTCTTTAGTTTACAAATTCGCTTACAATAGCTTACAGTTTAGACTACGCGCCTTTAGCCAAAGCTTACGGGCTCCGATAGCCTTTGAGGAATGGAATCGTTCTACTTTACGCTTAACGTGTTGCAGCTCTGTTATCGGGTTAAGAATAATGTGATTCAATCGGCAAGGGGAATATGTACGGGGGTGGGGGGGTAATTTCCCTGAAAATACAGAGACTCATCGGAAACAATGAAGTAGCCAAATAACGCCGACGGTGACACAGACCACCGTTTGAGCTCCAACTGGAACGCGTTCCTCTCAGATTTTAATTGACGATCGGTGATCCGCGACACGAGCTCGGTTATCGGTGACCAATGATCCATGACGCGAGCACAGGTACATCAAATAGACACGAACCGTACGACACGCTAATATCGACGTTTCATTCGGTCCCCGGAGATAGGAAGCTTGCGAAACGTCGAAACGCTTTTCCTAAAGGACGCGGTACGCACGAAAGCCTCGACTGGTATCAATCGTCGAGGAAGAAATGCTTGGCTACGCTATTCGCACGAACCCCACGTGTGTCGATAAATGCTTAACGAGCCTAAATGAAAGAAAGAAATACTCGGAACCGACGGAGCACAACAAAAAGATAACCATTATCCGGGTTGGGTACCTTTTCACCGAGGCATACAAAGGGTAACGAGACATAAGTGACGCGACGACCGTGTATCTACGAAATCGTGTAACACGATTGTTGCTGTGTAGCGTTAAAGACGCGAACGATGCAGAAGCGGGGCACGTTAAAAACATGCAAAGTGTATTATAATTTGAAATAATGAAACGCGACTTTTCGCGATCCATTTATTCGCGTCACGCGATACGTCGACGTCTCGCGAAACACAATTTGTAAAATGCTTTCGTGAAACGTTGGAACGTCGCCGTTGTCCGATAAAGATGAGGACACTTTCATCGGGATTGAAGACGTTTTGGAAATTTTCGCGTCAAGATGAAAAAATTGGCGGGAAATTCGGGACGAGCAGCAAGAATCGCGAGGGAAGAGAAAATGGAGACGGAAGAGGAACGGAGACGAAAGAGCAGCTCCGCGCCGGTGGTGGGAGCGGCGGTCTCGGTGGTGAGGGCAGAAAGAGAGACGAGAGAAGAGAGAAGGGAGAGAGGAATATCGCGAGAGCGCAAGAGTGAGCAGTAGATACGGGGCGAGAGCAGAGAGGGTGGTTCGGCCGGCCGGCCAGTCGTGCTGTAGCGGCAACCACGACGCGTTAGTCGCTTCACGTTCACCGCGATGTTTCCAAACAACCCCCTCGGTGATCCTTTCGAACCCTCGAGGACCGATCCGCGGAAGGGATGAACTGAGGAGAGATCGGCGGCCGGTCGATCGTCCGGGATCGGGACACGCGTCGACGATGCGCACGGACCGCTGAGCTCGGATGCCACGTCCTGGCATCCGCATCCTGGCCTCCACGCCTAATATCCGTTGGTACGATCCGTATCCGTCGCGGTCTCAGTCAGTGAGATCGTTCTGGTGATCCCGAACGCTTTGACTTTCATCGAAACCTCGACCACGTCGCGATCCAGAGGGGTGAAACGACCCGCTGTCTCCGACGCTTCGATCCTCCACCCTCGATTCGCAGCTTCCTCCCCGACGTTGCTGGTAAACAAAGGAGGATCAAGGGGAATTTTCGAATACGGTTCGTGGATCACTTTTAGAACACGTGCAGGGAGAGGTCTCGGGCTCGCGAATCGATTCGAGGGTACAAGTGGTTTCGTGGTTCGTCCAGACAGATTGCCGCTGATCCTTGGGATCAGCCTACTCTCGCCCGTTGCGAGGGAAAGCCTCGGGCATCGAAGGATCGTCCGAAGGTGGTAAGTACGAGGGGATCTTTTAGGCGGAAGAAAAGCTTTCGCAAGGTCCATCAAGGACGAGACGTTCGATCGTTTCTCCTACGGCTCTACACCCAGCTGATCCTTGCTGGTTGCCCGAGATAACCTTGCTTTATCTAAATCTCTAGGTCGGACACGAACTATCGCGCGCTTGTAATTAACGGGCAACTCTTTCGTTTTCTCTCTCTCCCTCGGTTCTCCTCTCTCCTTCTCGATCCCGCTGCTGCGCGGATATTCAATTTCCATCGCGAAAGAACTTTCGCACGCGACCCGAGAACGTACAACGCATCGAGCAATGATCGCGGAACTACTCGCGGCTGGCATCGATCGACGGCGGAGCCACGTTAAATCGAAGATGGACCATATCCTCGTTTAGATAGCATTTCGTTTAATCCGTTATTCGTTCGATACGAATTGTAATCTATACGAATATCCACGCGCAGCTATTAGTTTGCACGACACGGTTATTATGTACTCTGTTTGCATAGCGATAAAAAGGTTACTCGTAATTAGACCTTTAATACGGTATACGCTATTCGTAGCAGAGTATTCGTTCGCTGGCAATAGTTTACATTGGCTGTCCTATCCATTTTCACGGCAACGTCCAAACGAGACTGCTCGATTAAATAAACGCAACGAGTAATTAGTACGCGATACTTGCACTGTTCGTCTGTTATTCGTATCGAGTTTCGTGTATCTGTGCGCTGGATCCTTGGCACGAATCGATTTCGCGAGACACGTGTCGAGGAAGACGTCGGACCAGGTGTACCAAGAATAATTGTCCACCCTTGGCGGTCGTCGATCGAGCCGCACGCCTGACCAAAGGATCGCGAGAAGTGGGCCGGTGTATCAGCGATTTAGGGGCGGGTAAACACGTCGAGCGTTCCCGCTGGCTGATGGTATCGATTCGATACGCATCATATTCGTACGCGGTAGCGCTCCGGGGTTAATTATT